GGAGCCCGCGTCTTGTGTAGTAACTGTCAGACCCCAGGGGAGTGAGAGCTGTGGTGTGCAGAGACGGGGCACTTTCCCCCGTAAGGGTGGCCGCAGCTGGCACCTGAGCACTGAGTGATGGAGGCTGAGGCCCCATTCCCAAGGCTGAGTTTGCCGCTGTGCTGTCCAAATACCCCACGTCCTGCCTGCTGCTTAGCTGAGTCTGTTCATTACTGACCAGGGCAAATTCACGTTTTCCACTGTGATTCTAGATATCTGTTTTTTCTTATAGTTGTTCCAGTTTTCCCCTTGCTTATCTCTAGTCCATTTGGGGGGAGCAATATTAAAATATTTGGGTCACCTCAGGAACCATCATTGAGTTGAGAAATTTCACATGATTTCACTGTTTCCATTTGCCTGTATATTTATAATCATTTGGGGTCAAGTAGCACTCTTGTTTTTTACAGTCTGACTCCTGATTTTAATGTGACCACTCAGTCACTTGCTATGTAATTACTGGGACATCTGGATTGAGATTTCCATCTTATTTTGTACTTTGTTATCCCGTCTGTCTCTCTTTCAGTCATTGTTGTTTCATTTCCATTCTTACTCTCTATGAGTTTGTAAATCAGACCCTCTTACTTAATCCTACTGATACCCAGGAAATGAAAGCATGAATCTTACTTTACAGAAGTAGAATGTCAATTAATGTCCCCCCTCCTCTTGGGCAATAGCAGAACCTCGGAACACCAGCTGCTCTGCTCCTTTGGGAACCGAGCTTCGAGGCTGAGAATTAAACATCTTCTTTCCCAAGTGCAGGCGGTTGGCGGCATCCTTTAGACGCACCCACAATTCACTATTTCTTCCCCTTCTTTCTGTCCTGCATCTCAGCTCTACCTCTGGGAACATTTATTTCTGCCTTAAGTATATCCTGTCAAATTTTATTTATTGCAGAACAAACTCTGCCTTTTGTTAAAAATATGTCTTTATTGATTTCAGAGAGGAAGGGAGAGAGAGAGAGAAACATCAATGATGAGACAGTCACTGATCGGCTGCCTCCTGCACGCCCCCCATTGGGGATCGAGCCCACAACCCGGGCCTGTGCCCTGACCGGGAATCAAACCTCAATATCCTGGATCCTAGGTCGATGCTCAACCGCTGAGCCACACCGGCTGGGCCAAACTATGCCTTTTGATTATCTGTCTGAAAATGCCCTCATTTTACCATGTATCAAATTTTCAGGTGACATGCATTCTCTTTCAGGATATTACAGACAGACCACTGTTTTGTGGTTCTCATTATTTCTGTGTAAAAGTTAGCTAAATGCATGACGGTCACTCCTGTGAATATCATAGGTTTCCCCTCAGTCTGGCTGCCGCAGAAATATTTTAAGTACATATTGTAGAAAATTTAAAACATTTCCCAAGTTAGAAAGAATCATCTAGTAAACACCTTTGTGCCCAGATCCCAGCTTCAATCATTAGCATTTTGCCACTTTTGCAGATGCTATGCACATTAGTCGTTTGCCTTGTCCAGCTGGAGTATTTTAGAGCAGATCCGTCCTTTCCTCTGTGTACAAGGCAGGCCCTGTGTTATGGTGGCCCAGGGACACTCAGAGCGGGGAGGGTGGATGTCTAGTGTGGGGGGGCAGAGGTGCGCGCGTCCTGTGTAATAACCGTGTAGAGCTGGGCGAGGGGAGAAGTGTGGGGTGCAGAGACTGACTGATGAGGGCTTTGTTAACAGGAGCACCAGGCCATTACCCCAACCGGCAAAATTAACAAGGACACCTTAACTCTTCTCACACCCATTCTCGGTTCAAATGTCCCACCTGTCCCAAAGGTGCCTTCTGCTACAGGTGTGTGGGAATTGGGTCTAATCAAGCCCCCCACCCGCTATGGCGGTTGTTTCTCTTAAGACTATTATACGGCAAGGGCCCTGTCTTCATCCCCCGCCCACTATAGATTTGCCCGAGAAACCAGATAATTTACTAGAAAGACCCATGTTCTCATTGGCTTTCTCAAGCTGTCCACTAATTCTTTCAGAAGCCTGTGAGCTGGCCGTCAGACCATCGTGGGGAAGGGCACGTAATAAGAATAAGCCACTAACTACAGGTAGGAGTTTTCCTCCTGACCTTGGGAAACAGGGATGAAACAAGGCTGTAAAAAATACACTTCAAAGCAGGCCAAGGGCAGGATGTGCTTTGCCTTGGTCGCTGTGCCGGGACCCTGACCCCCTCGGGAGTTGGCCTCAGGAACGCTGACCACTCTTTGGTCCCAGAAACCTGCTGAGCTGTTTGTAACGTCACAGATTAGCCACCTGGTTATCGAACTTTGGCCCCTGAAGGCCGGACTGCAGACCCTCCCCCACTCCCCCTGTGGCACTTGCAGCTCCAGCTGCACGCGGTTCCCTTCTCCTCACTGGTATATAATCAGCCGACTGGCGAGGGGGGTCAGAGCAGGATTTCCAGGGTGACGGACTGCTCCCCCCATACTGCCGGCAGTGTTGGAATAAATGCTCGTATGATTCAGCCCCGTCTCTGCTTAATTGGCTTAAGTGGTGACCAGTGGCCTCGGACCCGTTGTGTCCGGTACCAAGACCTCAAGGTTTAATTACTCAGGTAAAACATATTCCAGGCAGGTATCCCTGTTCCCCATGTATTCATGATGCTGGGATGTCTGGTTTTATGCCCTCAGTGACTCTGAGGCTGACCGGTGGTTGTGAGTGGTGCCACTGAGACCGCCACGATGAGTCCCCCACCCCGGCCCCGGGTTGAGGATGGCTGCCTGGACCTGTGACTTCCTTAGAGAGTGAGAGTGACGGCTTTCCTCCTCTGCCATTCCTTCCACATTCTGCCCCTAGATGATGTTGGGAGACTCTACACCTCTGGCCACTGTGATTATGAACAAGTCCAGTCTGTATCGAAGATCCCCTCTCCCGTCATTTAATCCCTTCCTCACTGGATTCCAAGGGACAGGGAGCGAAAGAGGGTGTGGGGGGGGCGCTTGGTTCCATGTCCTCCTCTCTCTGTCTCCCCAACGCTGTGGCCTCTGAGGTTGGGGACAGGAGGGAATGGACGAGGCAGGGTCGTTCCTAATGAACACCATTCCTGGCCCTTCCCTGAGCAGTCCTAATCCATGTGTCCCGCTGTCTTCTGCTCTGAAGACGTGTGGCTGTCATGGGGATGTCCCCTGCAGTCAGCACCCTGTGGCCCTGCCCATGGTCCTGCTCCCTCCTGGAACCCCTGTGCTCCTTCACATGACCCAGGAACCCTGAGGTCCCCTCTGGCACTCTGAAGGCTTGGCTGCCATTTCCTGCCCGCGGTCACCACACTCAGGCTCCTTCTTGCCCCGCAGACTCGTGTCATTTCTGCAAACCTGCATGCCTGCTTCCTCGCAGGACGGCATGGAGTGACAACTCTCCTGAGCCCTCCCTCACTGCGGTCGCTCCGGTGGAGGCCAAGGTAGGAGTGGGGCTGCTCTGTGGTCCTTACAGGTGGCCAGATGGGGATGAGGCACCCCTCTGGCTGGTGATTCTCCTTGAACCCACCTGGCCCAGTCATGGGTATTCTGGGGGAGAGATAATGACGTCATGGAAAGGGATAGAAGGGGAGGGAAAGAGGAGAATCA